GAGAGAGAGAGAGAGAGAGAGAGAGAGAGAGAGAGAGAGAGAGAGAGAGAGAGAGCTGAGGTGAGGTGAGGTATTGGAGGAAGGAAGATGCTGGGTTCCGATTATCCTCTGCGGTAGACTGCGAAAGCAGTGTCACTTAGGTGAGGCGAGCAAGCTTGAGAGTTGGCACGACGATCTCATTTATATCCGCCGCAATGGAGGCAGAATAGGGAGCATTTAAAGCGAAGTTCTCAAGCAGCCAGCCGACCATAACCATGCTGACTGAGGAAGATTATGATGAGGATGAAAGATAAGATATCGAGAAGTGATGTTGAGGACAAGGTAAGATGGGGATGGTATCAATCAGAAAATGGAGAGGAGGACGAGGGTTTCAATGATGATGAAGGGATAGGAAAAGGGGAGGACTATGGTGGTTTCATTTATTGTTCTGATTTCCCTTCCTGTTTTTCCTTGCCATGCTCCTTCCTCCTCATCTTCCTCCTCATGTCTTTCTCCTCAAGCTCTTTCTTCTTCACACCACCACCCTCTACGTCATCATTTCCTGCAACTAATTCCGCTCCTGCGATTCATCCTCCTCCAATTCATCCTATGCATCTGTCGGGTTCAGTGTCCAACCCTATGCATCTGTCGGGCTCAGTGTCCAATCCTATGCATCTGTCCGGTTCAGTGTCCAATGAGTCCCCTTCAATGTTTTGCGAGCAAAGCTGCAACAGGTACCCTTGTTCCATATAGGAAAGTGCCTGCCTGCCTCTCATCCATTCGGGGACTTTGTGCATGCGGCACCACTGCTGGTTCGTGCTTTCAGAGGCCGCTAGTGTGAAGGTGTCTGGCACGCACGGGCGTAGTGGTGGTGGGAGCTGCTGGGAGCAGCGCAGAGCCAAGCCAGCCACAGCTGGGCTTGGGCTCAAGGTGGCCAGCGGGGTATGGTGGTGGTGTTCGGGTGGAGGACAGTGTGGGGAGAAGACGAGGGTGAGCAGAGAGAGGGCGAGAGTGGGGACATACCTGGTCCGTCGTGGAGGTCTGCATCCGGGAACGCTAGTGATTGAGTTTGGTACTTGTGATGATGTAACTCGATCCATGGCGGAAGCCTATCGAGAGGATCTGGTAATGTCTGAAATCATGCTCAAGCTCGAGGCCAAAGACAAGGCCACATCCGACAATTATGTGCTGGTTGAAGGCTTGCTATTTCGCGAAAAGGCAGGGAATATAAAACTGTGTGTCCCGTCTAGAGAGTCTTTGTGTAGATTGTTTTTAGGAGAGTGTCATGACAGTACGAGTCAGTTTGGGTTTAAGAAGACTTCAGCGAATCTAGTGCAGCGATTTTGGTGGCGCACGATGATGGAGGATGCTAAGAAGTATGAAGAAACATATCAGGTTTGTCAGCGCGACAAACCAAGGATGCAGGCACCGCTTGGGCTTATCAAGCCCTTGCCTATTCCTGCTAGCCCAGGTCAGGGTGTGTCCATGATTTCATAGATACCCTTGTGACCAGCAAAAGCGGAAAGCGGCATATCTTCGCCGTTGTGGACAGATTTAGTAAATATGCCCAGACCAATCGCAATGCCCGAGACCACCAAGACTGACCAGGTTATCAAATTGCTCATGGACAACTGGGTACATGATTTCAGTCTTCCTAAGTCTATCGTTAGTGACAGGGACGTCTGTTTCACGAGTGAATTGTGGAAGAGCACGGCCAAGCAGATGGGCACCCAACTGCAGATGACTTCAGGGAACCATCCTGAGTCAAACGGCCAAGCGGAACAGATGAACTGGGTAGTGCAGCATTTGCTTCGGCACTTCATCAAGCCGAGCCAGGATGACTGGGACGAGAAGTTGCCTCCTCTCATCGCCAGCCTATACAACAATGCACCACTGGCATGGCTCCGAACCACCTCCTCCATCTTGGTTGGAAGCCCCGTTTTGCTCTATACTCTTCCTATTGGCAATTATGCCGGAAAATCAGCCCACAGCAGCACCAGGCAGCATACAATTTGCTGTCAAGTATGATCAGATACTGCACCGGGCTGTCGGACAAATTCAGAAAGCGCAAGACGCTATGATTGCATCTGAGAATAGGCACAGACGGCGTTCTAACTTTCAGGTAGGGGATTTTGGGTCAAGTGCTCTGAGATGATGGGGCAGGAACTTGGTTAACCTACCATCTTTACCCGAATAGAACCACCCTCCGGTCATTTTAGCTGCATTTGGTGCAACTTTCAGTCTAGATACCGTGATAATGACTGGACGTTCTATTCGGGTGAAGACGGTAGGAAGCTTATGCCACAGTATTTCAGACCATGGGAAGCTCTGGATACAGTGGGGGATGATCTGGATGGACCCTCACATGTCATTTTTGAATCTCTGGACACTTACGAACACACCCTGTTTTCCATGCGTCCAAATTTTGCACGGTTTGCTGAGACTGATGGGTTCCCTTCAAGAAGATCCATGCTGCACCCCAACCATGGATGGACAGGTCAACGTCGACGACATCATTGCGCACATGATGATGCCGATCCCGAAGCCTCTGGGAAGAGGACAACCTCGCAACCCGCAGATGCAGTATGGGGTATGGTTCAGGCGTCATGCTGATCCCAAAGAGGACCGGTGGTTTACGAGGGAAGAGTTGATGAAGACTGCTCCACAGATTGCCG